TATATGGTTCTCCTCTTTTTCCCCTCTTAATTAATTTAGCCTTTTTTGAGCATCTATTCCAGGTATTTTCCGAGATCTATGTTTCCTTCTTGCTTCCTATTTCCTTCCAAATGCTGTCATTTACATCCAGGGATGGCTGACCCCTCCCCCCCACACCTGTATTTCTGTTCTATGTTGACCTATGTCCTCCTATGAGTCAGGCATTACTGTACCAGATGCTGGGGATACAAGCCCAGTAGGAACGTTCCCTGCCGTCGGTGGGTCTAGAGTCAAGAAGAGGAGGAGTCTGGTCAGCCAAATGTCAGGCACATGGTCAGTGAGTTACAATGGGGGCGGGGGTGAGGGGCAGCCAATTCTGCCTCAGGAGATAAAAGACAATAGGCAAGGAGTTAGGGACAGAGCTTATGTTCTCTTCCAAATATCAAATGGATGGGTTTTTAAAAACCACTTAAATCATGATTCACAACAATATTTTAAAAATAAACAAGTTGGCCATCGCTGTAGAATTCTGGTGAACCAACAGATTAGCTTGAAAACTGGTAAATAAAGGGAATCTTATTTGGCCTTTCCAATGAACTGCCTCACTGGGAACCAAACAGCAGGTGAGGGGAAATATATCTCTATACAAGAGTATCGGCTAAGAAATGAAGGACAGAATATCACACCCCCTAATAACCTAAAATATTTAGACCCTGAGTATCAACAGCAGCTCATATCACAAATATTGTGCGCTTCCTGATGTTAATAGATGACCCTCCCCCGACATATTTTTTAGCCAAAATAAATACACCTGAGCAAGCATCTAAAGCAGTGTTGTCCAACAGAACTTTCTGCAATGACAGAAATGTTCTAATCTGCACTACCCAATACAGTAACCACGGGTCTCATGTGGTTACTGAGCACCCGAAATGTGGCTCGTGCAACTGAGGAACTGAATTTTTAATTTTACTTAGTTTAAATTTAAATAGTCACATGTGACTTTGGCTACCAGAGTGGGCAGTGCAGCGCAGCTACAGACCCAACTACCCGTTTAGAGAAAACACAGAAGACCAAGGAGCGTTAGACTCCGTGCTGATGCATTCCTCAAAATCCAGATTGTTAGCAACCCTCCAAGCAAATTACTCATCTCTTCAATAATTAACTTGTAAGGACATGGAAAAGAGATGGAGGGAACATGGACAAATTATGAAAGAACTGAAAGATATGCCAATCAATTACAATGTGTAGACATTGTGTGGACCTGATTCAGCAAACTGAAAAAAATATGAATTTATGAGACAATTAGCAATGCGAACACTGCTCTTAATGTAGGTGTGATCATGTATTTTGGCCTTTACTACAGGCACATTCTGAGGTATTTATGGTTGAAGTAATATGATAAATGAGATTTGCTTCAAAATCATGTGTTGGGGATGGGTAGGGGTTGGATGGGCAGGAATAACCATGGATTACTGGTTGTTGGGGTGGGTGACAAATGATGGGAAGAAAGGAAAAAGACTACCACATGTTCCTACGTCTGGCAGGACTCGAAGACTTGGACTACAGAGCCAGGTAAAAGACCAAAAATACTTCAGAAGGAATCCTACACTCAATTCCTTTTGAAGTATCCTTGGGAGAGGCCAAAGGACGAGAACAGAAGGAAAAAGGGGGAGAAGACAGATTCACCTGCTACTCTACACTTGCACCTGGGTCCCACCAGCCACTGAGCCAGGAAGGAAAAATGTCCGCCAAGTAACTGATTTAACTTCAGAGTTACTTAGTTTCCGATAAGCCTTCAAAGGAAGGGCAATGGTGATCAGGGTTTCTGGGGGTCTCTGCCCCGCAGCTGGAGTCCTGTGAATGGGACCAGCACAAAAGAGACTTAAAGCCACCTGGATCTGTCACTACCGCCTTCTTAGATACACATGATCTCTCCACCTCAATCTGTTTGGAAAATTACTGAATCCTCAGTAGTAAAGAGACAATTTTGCAAACTGCCCTGAGGCACACAGTCATAGGCAGATAGGCTGGAAAAGGCCAGTTTCCTAACCAGCACCTACAACTCCTTTCTAGAGCCACTCACCAGCACAGCCAGATTGGCAAATCCCTTGTCCCCACTGTAGGCAACAGAGTACTGGACCTTAAGGAAATCTGCCATACATAACTTTTAGCTAACTCCCTACTGGCAGTTTACACATGCACAAAAGTGCTAGACACTCTGCACCCCTCATTGCATCGAACCAACCCTTCTGAGAGGCCGATTCTGTTGCTTTTCCATCTTACAGGTCAGGGAAACAAAGACTCAGGACAGATAATGTATCCCTAATACAGCTGGTAAGATGGACCCAACTGAGGTCTTCCTTCTCAAAACCCTTCTAGAACCCCTGCTGTGCCTGTGCAGGAGAATCCACACCTCTTGGCGCGGCCCCTTCATCATCTCGCCCTGGCCCAGCTCCTCAACTCCCACTCTTCTCTCTGACCCTACCAGGTCCATTTTCCATTTTCAGGCACTAGGACTTTGAGTCCTTTACCTACTCAAGCTTCGGGCTCAACCCATGCCACTGCCCTAAAGCCCGCCTCTCCCTCTTCTCCACTGCCCTCAAATCCACACCAAGAAACCTTCCCCGGCTCAGAATGTATTACATCTTTGCTTGTGCTTTAGCATTCCCTTTGCTGTAACAGAGTTAATAATATTTGTGTCTCTCCACCAACCCATATAATTCTAGCTAGAGCTAATGGGCACCTACCACGTTCCTCTCTTCACTCATTTATTATGTTTACCACTCTATAAGGGAAGTATCATTATTATTCCCATTTCACAGACAAGGAAACTGAGGCCCAGAGGGATTAGCAACCTGCCCAAGATCAGGCAGTTAAAAAGTGAGCCTAGAGGCTTAACTGTTACTGTCAGATGATTCTAGAACACCAGGCAGGGAACATCTTTATCTCCTGGCTGCCTGGCACACAGCAGGCACTCCATAATGTTAGATGGGACGTTGCCTCTCTGCGGGGCACTGGCTCAAACCTGCCCCTCCCATAGTCCTCTGAGCCAACTGCTCAGGGGGTGTCTTGAAATCATTCAAACTCAGTCATTATGCTTCATATATGGGCCTCATACTGGATTGGCATTCCTTTTCTTCTGGTTAAGAATTAAGAGAGCAGCAGGTTTTGCATAGAACTCTAGAATTAGGAAATATGCTAAGTCACATGCGATTTGGACAATCATTTGAAAACGGCCAATACCACAGAAGATAATTCTGGAGGCTTGGAGTATCTTAATACCAAAATGTCTCCTATTTTCAGATGGAGGCTGAGAGGGAAAAGGATTCTAAACATCCTCAGTAAATAAATGGAACTTCTCTGGAAGCTGTGCTAAGGTTGAGGAGCTAACACTATACCCCATCCCCCAGCCCAGGGGCAGCATGTAGGCAAGATCATAGAAATAAGATTGTGGTTTATTTATTCTTTAATCCAGGGATCCATGGGGCTGTTTGCCTGGGACAAGAGACAGCTCCTCAAATGTTGGTTAAGGGACTGGATCTTTCTTCCCTGCCACTTTCTTCCCAGGGTAATCTGGGAAATTGGGGGACAGAGGGGCAAACTGACTACAGTCAATCCCAAAACAACGTTGCAATTGTCCTTCCAGCCTGGTGATAAATATGCAAGTGGGACACTTTGTAGAATTTCCTGGAGGGCAGAGCTACCAGCCTCAGGCAAACTGTCCCCTCCCACTTAACCCCATCTGGCCCAGAAAAGCCTCAGGCCAGCTGACTTTGAACCTCAGCAGTCAACTTTAACACCAAACAGCTTGCGCCGTAGCAACCTTTAAAGATGTCTTTCCAGAGGATTTCGGCTCCAGCCTCTAGCCTCAATTCATAACCAAATGCACCCTAGCCAGCCCCCAAGCCAAACCCCAGGAACCAGTAATATGCATAGGGAGGGATGGCCTCGCCCAGGAAAAGTAACCTAGTCTTACCCAATCCACAGCAAACACTAGAGTTCCTCCTCCCCATCCCCCCATCCCCCGCCTGGGCAGCAGGGCTGCAGGACCGCCCTGGCGCGCGCAAGAATTCTCGCCCACCACCCAGGGCCTGGAGCCCGCAGAGTCCCACCAGGCTAGGAAATGGGGTCATGTGATTCCTAAAACACCACTCCCTGGCTCCAGCTGACTAAATCAGTGGAATGAGATTCCTAAATCTTGCGGGTAACGGATACATTTGAGCAGGCGATCATGGAAGTTCTACCCAGAAAAGCCAGATGAATGTCCCGATAAGATGTCGCGTACAATTCTAGAAGACTTGGGGGGGGGGGTTGAAGAATGATAATGCAGGGTAACAAACACTCCAACCCACTGGGGGCGGGGCACTGAGGCAATTTGCAGTTGAACCCCTTTATCCATCAGTTTAATTCAAGATTTGAGAGAGATGACAAATTTAAAGTGGCCAGCACAGACCTGGAGTCTAACGGGCACTCCATAACTGTCAATGGGAAGAGCTGTTATTGTGAGAGGTCCACTGTGTGCCAAACTGTCGCCACTGCCTCCAGAACGCAAGGAAGTGTGTGAAACTCGGAATTCTCATAGCGCTAGGAATGCGCCGCAGAGAATGGAATTCCTGAGAGCCTGGGTCCCTCCTTTCCGAACCCGGGAACCCCGACGGCCTGGTGATTCTGCAGGCTCTGCACACAGAATGGGCTGCTGGAGGGAGGAAGCTGGGCCTGGGTCTTTTAGGCAGTTCCAGAGGCCACCCCCGCGGACCGTGCCGGCTCAGGAGCCGGCCTCCAGGGCTCAGCGGCGCTGGCCGCTGGTTACCCAGCAGACAGGAGGACGCGCAGAGCCGCCCTGGCCGAGACCCAGAGGCAGGTGCAGGAGCGGCGCAGAGGGCGCGCGCTCGGTGTCCGGGTGCCCGGGTGCCCGGGTGCCCGGGTGCGCGGGCGGGCGCGGCAGGGAGGGGCGCGGGCTCCCGGAGCCCGACGCCAGGGCGTGGTGCAGGTGGCGGCGGGGGGCAGAGTCGACACCGTACCTTGATTTTCGACCTGGCGACCGGGCGCTGCATCGCCGCCAGGTGTCCGCCCGGGCCCTCGACTTCGCCGGGCTCGGGGATTTCGCGCTCGGGGGCGCGCGGGGACGAGCTGCTCTCGGCGCCTCCAGGCTCCCCCGCGCTGCTGCTGCCGCCGCTGCTGCTACTGCCGCCGTCGCTGCGGCAGTCCTCGGGGGGGTCGTGGAGCAGACGGCCCAGGCCCACTGCGGAGGAAGGGGCGGCGCCCCAACACACAGACACGCGGCGTCAGGCCCGGGCGTCCGCGGCAGTTTGACCTGCGGGCGGTGCCGCCGCCGCCCCGCCCTGGACCTGGGCACCTGGCCAAGTGGGCAACACGCGGGGGTGGGCGAGCGGGTCCCCGGCTGGGCCTCCGGAGCGAGCACGGGGTTCGGGGGGCGGCTCCTCGGTCCCAGTCCCCGCGCCCACAAGGAACCGAGGGCCTTCGGCGGCCGCGGACCCCGCGCGCCAAGTTTCCTCTCTCTGGGATAGGGGGTTAGGAGTCTGACCTCAACCCACCTAGCCCGAGGGGCTGACGGATCCTGGTGCAACCCCATGAGGACAAGGGGCTGAGAGTAACCCCTACCGGCCTTCCGTCTCCCCTCCAGGTTCACCCCGGCCCGCGCGGCAGCCAACGGTCCCGCCGCCGGGCAATTACGGGCGCCCACTAGGGGGAAGGGGGCGCAGGGCGTCCCGGGTTCCCCAGCCTCTCACTCTCGGTCTTCCCGCTCCTCAAGGACCCCCTTCCCCGCCCGCCCCGAAAGAGGGGGGCATGGGGTGGGGAGTCCAGCGCCCGCCGAGGAGCCGAGGGGACCCGACCACCCCTGCCCCCACCCTGGGAGTCCCGCGCCCAGGCCCGGCCCCCGCGCGGCGCTCACCTGGGATGTAGGTGTCTGCCCTTTCCTCATCCGGGAGCTCATCCCAGCTGCGGACGGAGACCCCCGGGCTCCTCCTCTTCACCAGGAAGACTTTGGGCATGGTGTGGCGCCCCTCCCCGGCCGGCGGCCCCCTCCTCCCGGCTGCTCCCCGCTAGAAGCTGCGGCAGGGACTCGGTCCCCGGCTCCCGGCGGCCAGAGCCCACCTTCCCGCCTAGCCTGCCCTCTCCCTCCGCCCCCCGCCGCGGCGCGGCCCAGGCCTCTCCCCCGCACGCCCGGCGACTCCCAGTCTCCAGGCTCGGCGACACCTATGCCTTAAATCGCGGGTGAGACCACGCCGAGGAAAAAGTTTCATAAGGTGGAATAGAAAAGGCACCAGGAAACTTGGGAGTGAGCATGCGCCCTGCAACATAACGGTGTCAACAAGCTCGCTACCTGTCCGACCGGTTCCGGCGGCCGGGGCTGCCTGTTCCAGCCCTTCCTTAGGCATGAATGTTTGCAAAAGAATTTAACGTCTGATTCTCCCCCCCTCCCCTTTTTAAAAAGGGAAGAATGTTTTTTAATCAACCTCTCGCCCCAGTCCCCATCACATGCACCTCAGGGCAAACTCTTAGAGGTAAGCCGCCAGGTCCGCTTCCCAGGGCATCCATCCTAAGAGTTGGAGCTTCCTGCGAGTTGCACCCCCCCCCTCCCCGCCCCCAGGTGGATTTGTCTCCGACTGGCAAGCAAGAAAATGGCTCAGTTCCTCCGGACTTGGTGGATGGTTTCCGCGGCTGGCTGAAATCTCGGCGGGCGGAAAGTGGAGGCGGCGGGGAGACTCTCCAGGACTCTGATCTCGTAAAGGGGGGAACTTGGGGGCTTAGGCTCCCCATCATTTACAACAGTCCCCCAAATAAACACAGTAATAATAAAATTTAGAACACGTCGTTATTGATTTGTGCCATACAATCTAGGAAAAACAAGTCGGCTAGCTCTGCTAAACCAGCTTCCACCCCAAGACCTACCACCCCAAGAGCCCCATCAACCCAAATAAACACACAATGGAAACAAAAGCCAAGCGCATTTTATAAAAACGCGGCTTCGGAACAAATTCCTTATCCTTGCCCACTCCCATTATGGTCTCCCCATAACCGCCCGCTCCCCAAATTCCGAGGCTGGGTAATACGTCTCCCAGTTAAGTGAAGTTGGGCTGCTACTGGGGAGGTGGCTGGAGAGCTTTGTATTTATTTTTGGTTTTGGCTTTTCCTCTCTGCCTTTATACCTGGAGGGGGAGTTGGGAGAGAAGGAAGAGGAGTTGGTAAGAGAAAGATGCCAAGTTTCAAAGAGCAGCCGTGCCTGCATTTGGGGCGCGCGCGCTGTCCCCCTCACGGCCGCTGCTCGGGTGCGCCCGGGGACGCGCAGAAGTGCCTGCACCGCTGCGGTGGGCGCACTCCCCCCGTGGGTGGTCAGACTTGCGCGGGCTCCCGGGGCTGTGCAGGGGCGCGTCTCGCCTGGAGTTCCCTGGCGCCCGCAGCTCGCCCATCCGCCAGACTCACCTGTCTGTAATCTGACCCGCTGCGCGCCCAGCCCACAGGGCCGAGGAATCAACACAGCGGTTTTCCCCGTCCTCTTCCGCCCTGGAATGGCCCTTGGGGACACAGCAGCCTAGTAACGGATTTCTCGGCTCGGCGGGAGTACTCTCCCCGCGTACGGAGAGGGGGCGCAGCTCTCCTGGGTCTGAGAAGGGAAGAGAAGCGCCATGCCTCAGGGTCTGCCCTCAAGAGGTCACCCTCTCCTGGCTCAAGCCTGTCTGGACTCTAGATTTTCTGAGAACAATCAACTAAGAATGAAAAAGACTTTGATCCGGTTAAGCCCGGAGTGGAGAAGGGAGACATTTCTATAGCGGCACAAGGAAACGAGGCTTCTTTTTAGTCTATGAGGCTGATGGCGCAGCTTCTGGGAGAATCTGAGAATGTATTTTTATCTACCAACAAACGGAAGATTTTCTAGAAAGAAGGAGCTTGGTTGAATGAAAGTAAAATAAAGTAAAACTACGAAATCACAGAATTGCCTCCCATCTCATATAAATTTTTTAAAACTTTCCTTCGTTCAAAATTCCTTATATTTCGAAAAAGCCAGTCAACCCCATTAACAGTTTTTTTTTTCTTTTATTGGATTTCAGATCAATGAGTGCCTGAACTACTTTGTCCTTTATGTGAAAAGAATATTAAATGACAGACTATAAGGCTAGAAACCTCAGATTCGGGATGAAAATTAACAGAAATAACTACACTTTCTGTCAAGGATTGTTGGATGCACACTTACTATGATATTTGCTAGCTGTTTCTTTGGGAGAAAGGAATTCTAATGTGTTATCTTCCTCTCTCTCTCTCTCTTTTTCTTGATCGGACTTGAGAGGGATTTATCAATATTAACGTTTTCAATGTTTTGTTTTTGTTGACTTTATTTTATGATTAGTTTTCTAAGTATTATGAGGAGCTGATAGAGCATCCCCTAAAAGTAGAATAAGAAATAAGCTCAATTCTTTAAAAATCTCAAAGCTGGTAGTTGAAAGAGACAGAAGTCCTGATCTGGCCCACATCCTGCCCCCCACCTCTCCACTGAGAGGATAGGGTGGCCCTCCCTAGAGTCCTTAGTAGGTGTGTGTCCAGCCCTGCTTGAATCCTTACAGGGTTGGGAGCTCACTTTTTCAAAAAGCAGTCTATTCTGGTGAGGTGACAATACGGTTAGAAAGCTTTTCCTTCTGCTTTATGGAAGTCTGTTTCCCCACATTTCTATCTCTCCTCTGCATTCTGCCCTCTGGGGCTGCTGAGACTCCCTCAGCCTGTGCCCCCTTTCCCTGGTAGTTCTTCAAATGCGTGAAAACAGGCATGGGTGTTCTCACTTAAGACTTCTTTTCTTCAGTAATATGTTGTCAGGTTGAAAATAGGTGCAAACCAGCTCAGTGGCATCATTAGAGGATAAGGAGAGGTTAGGATGATGGGGAAATGGTCCTAAAAATTTTTTTTTTTTACTTTTTACTGAAGTATAAAATAGTGTTTTTAAAAAAGGCACAAATCATAAGTACACAGCTTGATCAAATTTTACAAAAAAAAATTGTAAGAGACAGCACCCCAGAACAAGACCAAGCTGCCTACTCTCACCACTCCGCTTCACATGAGACCGGCTTTTTTGTGGGTACAGTAAGACAGAGAAGAGGAAATAAAGGTATAAGGGTCATAAGAACAAAAGCAAAATTATCATCATTTGTAGTCAGTATGATTAGCTACGTGGAGAACAGAAGAATCTACAGATAAATGATTAGAATTAATAAAAGAGTTTAGTAAGGTTATTTTATAGAAAATCTTGGTGTGGGGCGCCTGGGTGGCTCAGTTGGTTAAGCGACTGCCTTCAGCTCAGGTCATGATCCTGGAGTCCCTGGATCGAGTCCCGCATCGGGCTCCCTGCTCGGCGGGGAGTCTGCTTCTCCCTCTGACCCTCCTCCCTCTCATGCTCTCTGTCTCTCATTCTCTCTGTCTCAAATAAATAAAATCTTAAAAAAAAAAAAAGAAAAAAAGAAAATCTCGGTGTGTGTCAGTTGCATGTCTAAATGTCAATAACATTTAGAAATCTCCCCAAAGTCATCTGTGGATTTAATACTTCAAAAAAAAGATCTTTTTGTGAGAATGACGAACTTGTTCTAAAGCTTATAACCAAAACATTCCTGGAGAACAAGGTGTATAGATTCATTCTATCAGATATCAGTAGTAATTAAAATAGCGTGACATTGGTGCACAGATAGACTGCCAGTGCAGAGTAGAGAGCCCAGGAACAGACCGCACACACTTTTGATTTATGAGAGAGGGCATTGCAGAGCAGTGGGGGAAGATGTGAAATGGGAATGACTGGTTATGCATTTGGGGAAAAATAAAGGAAATCGCATAATGCACACACATATCATCAATTTCCAGTGGATTAAACATTTAAATGTGTATGTGTATACATATGCATAGATAAATAGAGAGATAATGGAGAATATCTTTATGACCATAAGATAGCGCAGAACTTTACTTATTGATTGATTGATTCATTCATTCATTCATTTATTTTTCTTATTGAAGTACAGTTGACACACAATGGAGCAGGATTTCTTTTTTTTTATTTTTTAAAAATTTATTTTATATTATTTAAATTCAATTAACATATAGTGTACTGTTAGTTTCAGAGGTAGAGTTCAGTGATTCATCAGCAGTACATAACACGCAGTGCTCATTACATCACATGCCCTCCTTAATGCCTATCATCCAGTTACCCCATCCCCCCACCCTGGAGGAGAATTTCTTAAGATACAAAGAACAAACCATAAAAGAAAATATCTGATAAATCTGACTGCAGAAAAATTAAGAATGACTACTTTTCAAAAGACACAGTAAGGAGAATGAGAAACTAAATCATAAGTTGAGAGAACTTTTGCAACACATTTATCTTATAAATGATCAGAATTCTGATGTTACAAAGAATTCAAATGTCAGAAAAAGAACCATAATTTTTAAAAATGGCAAAAGACATGAACAGGCATTTTCCAGAAAAGAAAACATGAATGGCCCATCAACATATAAAAAGATGCTCAATCTCCGGGCCCCTGGGTGGCTCAGATGGTTAAGCGTCTGCCTTCTGCTCAGGTCATGATCTCAGGGTCCTGGGATCGAGCCCCACATCGGGCTCCCTGTTTGGCGGGGAGCCTGCTTCTCCCTCTCCCTCTACTGTTCTCCCTGCTTGTGCTCTCTCGCTCTCTCTGTCAAATAAATAAATAAAATCTTTAAAAAAAAAAAAAGACGCTCAATCTCATTAGTAAACAAGAAAATGCAAATTAAAATGACAATGAAATACTATTTCATGTTTACCAGACTGGCAAAATTAAAAGGTTTGACAATACTGCTAAGTGTTGCTTTGGATGTAAGAACAATAAGTTTATGCATTGCTAATAGGTATATAGACTGATTCAAACATTTTGGGAGTTTGATTTTATCTGGTAAAATTAAACATGCACATATTGAATGAGCCAGAAATTCCACTCCAACTTTTTAAATTTAGAAAAAGTCTTGCACTTTTCCACCTAGAATT